TGACACCAATTTCCACAAAAATGACAATTTATCCATGTGGAAAGCCCGTTTGTTTGACTGACCACAGACTACACACAGCTTCATAATGATTTGAAGGGTTGATTTACTGCAAGTCTACTAGCAACCTCTTGAATATTATATTAATAACCTTAAATGAAGCTCTAGCTATTTGTATTTCTGTTTCTAACTCTTTTTGTATATTGGACAGCTTACCGTCACGTTCCTGATTTTTAATGTTTGTGTTTATAAGGGCGCCTACAAACCCATCCGTTTACAGTCTGCTTTATTGTCCAACGAAACTGTTTGAAACCAGTCCCGGGTTCGGACCAGTCAAGGGTTCGGACCATCAAGGGTTCGGACCAGTCGATCTGCTCTGATCAGTGGGTCACTTATTTAAAACATACTGGTCGGTGATTTGAGCTAACACATGAAGGATCTACTGGAAATTATCTACCCGAGTAATATGTGATTTGACTGATACAAAAGTATAACTTGCGTGTTGAAGAGCCGGTGATATCTGGCAGCTCCTACAATGACGTACAGTCGACCTCTTTGTTTATCAATCGCTGTATCTGGCTTTTCTATTTTTGTTTTTCCGTCTCCACCACAATAAATGCTATATTATCACTATAGTTGACTGGTGCAAATTTTGGAGGAAGGACGCTTTTTCTGTAGTAATAATTGCTTCTCGTTGTGTATATTGCGGCCTTTGACATACACTGAATTTTTGTAAAGGTTTAGTCGGACACGGGGAATGTCGTAGAGATGTTTGTGTCTGGTGTTATGCCTGTGGGTTCTGTCACAACTATCAAGAAAGCGTTTTAGGTCAAGGTTGATATTGGAGTTTAAGGTCCTGTAGATGTAGATTGCACAGTAGTAAGTGTGGATGTACTGAACAGGGAGTAAGTTTAGATCTATGAAGAGTGGGAGGGTGTGTTGCCAGGTATGGGATTTAGTGATTTGCAAGACCTCAGAGTAAAGATATAAAACGGGACAGTTTTCTTTACATCAATGGCATATAATATCAACATTATGAGAAATTAGACAGGTGTACAACACCTGGATGTCTTTTATTTGAAGATTCATCAAGACTAAGGAACAAAACATCAGTTACCAGAATGAGGGACTGATAAGATAAGATAAGATTTCGTTCGGATTTTTAACCCCGGAGGGTTAGCCACCCAGGAAAGTCAGTGCGTCATCGAGGACTGTCTAACTTATTTATAACCATTGGGGTCCTTAATATTGTCCCCCAGGATGCGACCCACACCAGTCGACTAACACCCAGGTACCTATTTGCTGCTAGGTGAACAGGACAACAGGTGTAACGAAACGTGTCGAAATGTTTCCACCCGCCGGGAATCGAACCCGGGCCCTCCATGTGTGAAGCGGGAGCTTTAGCCACCAGGCCACCGGGTCCCTTACCTTATCTCCCAATGTCTTCTGTGCATAGTCCCGCATAACTGAGATTGATTACTTCATCATCTACTGTCTTCGTATACTGCCTGTGAAATGAAGTGAAAAATCCACTTATTGGCGAAACGTCTTCAAATAAGCATAACTGAGTGTTGTTGTCTATTTCCTTATGGGACAGTTATCCCTCGTAGGTTTCGTTTTCTCTAGATAATCCAAGAAGCAGGAAGGTTAGACTATTTTAACCGAATATATTTTATTATTATTATTATTCAAGGTAAAGCGCTATACTACGTGGGGTAGCTTGTACAACACCTGGAAAATGAGAGGCACTCAGGGTTCATGTAAGGGAGTGCACAGGTTCCTTGAATTAAACGCCCTTTCACCAGCGGCAATTGACAAATGCATTATTTTAGATTAATTCAAATGTTTTTACATAAACATTTGCGCAGTTAATGGTCTGCTATGTTGTTCTGGTCTGGCATATAGTTCTGGTCTGTCATGTTGTTTTGATCAGATATGTTGTTCTGGCCTGGCATGTTGTTATGTTCTGACATGTTGTTCTAGTCTGCTATGTTCTGGTTTGGCATGTTGTTCTGGTCTGGAGTTTACCTGGAGTTTACCCGGAGAGAGTTCCGGGGGTCAACGCCCCCGCGGCCCGGTCTGTGACCAGGCCTCCTGGTGGATCAGAGCCTGATCTGTCCTGTTGTTCTGGTCTGCCCTGTTGTTCTGGTCTGCCATGTTGTTCTGGTCTATGTTGTTCTGTCTGCTATGCTGTTCTGGTCTGCTATGTCGTTCTGGTCTGCCATGTTCTGGTCTGCCCTGTTGTTCTGGTCTGCCATGTTGTTCTAGTCTGGCAAGTTGTTCTGGGCTGCTAAGTTGTTCTGGTCTGCCATGTTGTTCTGGTCTGCTATGTTGGTCTAGTCTGCTATGCTGGTCTGGTATGTTGGTCTGGTCTGCTATGTTGTTCTAGTCTGCTACGTTGTTCTGGTCTGCCATGTTGTTTTAGTTTGGCATGTTGTTCTGGTCTGCTATGTTGTTCTAGTCTGGCATGTTGGTCTGATCTGCTATGTTGTTCTGGTCTGCCATGTTGTTCCGGTCTCCTTTGTTGTTCTGATCTGCTATGTTGTTCTGGTCTGCCATGTTGTTCTGATCTATGTTGTTCTGGTCTGCTATGTTTTTCTGGTCTGCCATGTTGTTCTGGTCTGCTATGTTGTTCTGGTCTGCCATGTTGTTCTGGTCTGCCATGTTGTTGCGGTCTGCCATGTTGTTGTGGTCTGCCATGTTGTTGTGGTCTGCCATGTTGTGGTCTGCCATGTTGTGGTGTGCAATGTTGTTGTGGTCAGACATGTTGTTGTGGTCTGCCATGTTGTTGTGGTCTGCCATGTTGTTGTGGTCAGACATGTTGTGGTCTGCCATGTTGTTGTGGTCTGCCATGTTGTTGTGGTCTGCCATGTTGTTGCAGTCTGCCATGTTGTTGTTGTTGCGGTCTGCCATGTTGTTGTGGTCTGCCATGTTGTTTCTGCCATGTTGTTGTGGTCTGCCATGTTGTTGTGGTCTGCCATGTTGTTGCGGTCTGCCATGTTGTTGTGGTCTGCCATGTTGTTGTGGTCTGCCATGTTGTGGTCTGCCATGTTGTTATGGTCTGTCATGTTGTGGTCTGCCATGTTGTTGTGGTCTGCCATGTTGTTGTGGTCAGACATGTTGTTGTGGTCTGCCATGTTGTTGTGGTCTGCCATGTTGTTGCGGTCTGCCATGTTGTTGTGGTCTGCCATGTTGTTGTGGTCTGCCATGTTGTGGTCTGCCATGTTGTTATGGTCTGTCATGTTGTGGTCTGCCATGTTGTTGTGGTCTGCCATGTTGTTGTGGTCTGCCATGTTGTTGTGGTCAGACATGTTGTTGTGGTCTGCCATGTTGTTGTGGTCAGACATGTTGTGGTCTGCCATGTTGTTGTGGTCAGACATGTTGTGGTCTGCCATGTTGTTGTGGTCTGCCATGTTGTGGTCAGACATGTTGTGGTCTGCCATGTTGTGGTCAGACATGTTGTTGTGGTCTGCCATGTTGTTCTGGTCAGACATGTTGTGGTGTCATGTTGTTGTGGTCTGCCATGTTGTGGTCAGACATGTTGTTGTGGTCTGCCATGTTGTTGTGGTCTGCCATGTTGTTGTGGTCTGCCATGTTGTTGTGGTCTGCCATGTTGTTGTGGTCAGACATGTTGTTGTGGTCTGCCATGTTGTTGTGGTCAGACATGTTGTGGTCTGCCATGTTGTTGTGGTCAGACATGATGTTGTGGTCTGCCATGTTGTTGTGATCTGCCATGTTGTTGTGGTCTGCCATGTTGTTGCGGTCTGCCATGTTGTTGTGGTCTGCCATGTTGTTGTGGTCTGCTATGGTCTGGCAAAGTCGGTCAACCATACCTGGAGTTTACCTGGAGAGAGTTCCGGGGGTCAACGCCCCCACGGCCCGGTCTGAGACCAGGCCTCCTGGTGGATCAGAGCCTGATCAACCAGGCTGTTGCTGCTGGCTGCACGCACATACGAGCCACAGCCCGGCTGATCCGGAACTGACTTTAGGTGTTTGTCCAGTGCCAGCTTGAAGACTGCCAGGGGTCTGTTGGTAATCCCCCTTGTGTGTGCTGGGAGGCAGTTGAACAGTCTCGGGCCCCTGACACTTATTGTATGGTCTCTTAACGTGCTAGTGACACCCCTGCTTTTCATTGGGGGGATGGTGCATCGTCTGCCAAGTCTTTTGCTTTCGTAGTGGGTGATTTTCGTGTGCAAGTTTACTTGGAGAGAGTTCCGGGGGTCAACGCCCCCGCGGCCCGGTCTGTGACCAGGTCTCCTGGTGGATCAGAGCCTGATCAACCAGGCTGTTGCTGCTGGCTTCACGCAAACCAACGTACGAGCCACAGCCCGGCTGGTCAGGAACCGACTTTAGGTGCTTGTCCAGTGCCAGCTTGAAGACTGCCAGGGGTCTGTTGGTAATCCCCCTTATGTATGCTGGGAGGCAGTTGAACAGTCTCGGGCCCCTGACACTTATTGTATGGTCTCTTAACGTGCTAGTGACACCCCTGCTTTTCATTGGGGGATGTTGCATCGTCTGCCAAGTCTTTTGCTTTCGTAGTGAGTGATTTTCGTGTGCAAGTTCGGTACTAGTCCCTCTAGGATTTTCCAGGTGTATATAATCATGTATCTCTCCCGCCTGCGTTCCAGGGAATACAGGTTTAGGAACCTCAAGCGCTCCCAGTAATTGAGGTGTTTTATCTCCGTTATGCGCGCCGTGAAGGTTCTCTGTACATTTTCTAGGTCAGCAATTTCACCTGCCTTGAAAGGTGCTGTTAGTGTGCAGCAATATTCCAGCCTAGATAGAACAAGTGACCTGAAGAGTGTCATAACATTAATTTTCTGCTTGATATCCTTGAAATTGTCTTTCAATACACTTACAACAAATTCACGTATTTGTTGTCATATTTTTAATATTATGGAAATAGTTTGTATCTAGTGAAGAGCGTAGAGGACGGGCGGTGACGATGTTTGTGAAGTGACGAGTGTAGACGGGTAGTGATGATACGACTTTCATTGTGTCAGGTGATGAGCGTCGAGGACGGGGTGGTGATGAGTAGTGACCACGTTGCCTTCAATGGCTATGTTCACGTGCTGGACCAAGTACTGACCCCTCCCACACATACCCTTGCCCGCACCCTGGCACTCACGCCCACACTCTCCCGCTTCACCGCCCTCATCACCCAGGTACGCCCACGCTAGTTCAAACTATTTTTAATTTCAAAGTGTATGTATATGAAACACTGGAATATATTAAGAGTTGGACAAAAATACCATAGAAATTTAAATTTAAATTTTAACTGTGTATATATGTGCTTCCGCCATACTATTTTCCTAAAGTTCGTTCCGCATTTTTAACTATGACACTGAAAAGGGACTTTTTAACACCTTCCTGAGTCATATATATTTGTAGCATCCGTCTTTTTATGTATGAGGCAGGTGTGAGCCAGGTGTGCGGGTCATGTGTAACAGATAAGTCTCACCCAGGCAGGAGTGTGGGCTTGGAAAGAGCTGAGCCTGGGCAAGGGCCCCTACACCTTGCTGGCTGTGAAGGACCAAGACATAGACACCTGGGCCACCGACACCTTCACTTACTATCGTCTTATCAACGACCGTAACCTCCTTAACCAGGTGAGTTCCTCCTCCACCAGGTCATCTCCCCCAACCTTAAACCAGGCTAGCTTTAGTTACAATTGTGTAATCATCATAGAATACAGTAGTAGCACACTGCTGATATATCTAATTGTGTTTATAAAAAAAAGCTGAGCCCCCATCCACTTCCTTGACCAGGTGTCCAGCATCTCCACTTATGTGAGTCCCCCTCTCCTTCCCTTTCATCATTTGTTGTAATACTTTTCAGAGAATCAGATGTAAGCCTTTGGCACTAGTGTACTCACCTAATTGTGGTTGCAGGGGTCGATTCATAGTTCCTGGCCCCGCCTCTTCACTGGTCGCTACTGTGTATGTGTGTGTTAGTTATTGCTCTCCTGGACAACCTGACCCTTGTTTCACTGCTTCAGAGTCTCAACATTCACTTGCTGGAAGACTTGGTGATGCCCCGTGCCCTACAGGAGGGCACCACTTTTCTTCTGGGAACCCGCCATGCCCCCCGCGCCCTGCGCCTTAGTGTGTCTGGGGGTCGCCTCTCCCTCCACCATGCCTCCGTCAGCTCAGACTACATCCTCTGCACCAACGGCATCATCCTCTTCATCGATTCTCTTCTCCTACCATGACCTATGTCCTCGTCTTCGACGATGTCCCTTTTAATTTGGTCTCAGTAGTAGTGGTTAGGGTGATGACAGTTGTGGTTATATTGTGTGACTGTCTTTACTAGAAAGAATTTATTATATATTTATTGTTTAAAAAATAAAAAATAAAAGGTTTGATACATTTCTGCGTAATGAATGAGAGCCCGCAAGGAGAAGGAAACTTGCGAGGAACTGAACACATTGGTGAAGAATATGTCGCAATACCGTGGCCGGAACAGTTCACAATTAATACCATGGCTTCAACTAATCCCCTCCTGGATTGATACGAATAAAATCATCTTATTGTACAAGTGTTTGTGGAGAGAGATTATGATTCGGTGTCCCGTAGCTCGATTGCTAGCGCAGTCAGCTCAAACACTGAGGTCCGGAGATCGAATACCCGGTGCGGCTGGAAAACATTAGGACGTGTTTCCTTAAAACACCTGTTGTCCATGTTCACCCATCAGTGTAAAATGGGTGCCTGGGTGTTAGTGGACTGGTGTGGGCCGCATCCTGGGCCAAAACTGACCTAATTTGCGGCTTTCAAGTGTCATTGATGTCAGCTATGGTCTGTATTATTATTAAGTGAATCCCCAGAGTTTTTCATAAAGTTGTGTCTAAAGTTTTAATCTTTAAATGACTACTAAAGATGTTTAATTAACAAGTAATAAAGACTGTGAACACAATAGTAATTTTATTTGGTGGAGACATACCTTCAGAAGTTTCCCAGTAAAGGTTTGCAGAAAGCTACAAAGCTTTCAAGTTAGGTAAGATTCGTCAGGAAACAAGCTAAATGTTTCCTAACGCGGGTCTTAGTCGTATGATGACCTGCTACTGGAACTTTTAGTCCCCTGACTGAGGCCTTCCACTGGCTTACCCATCCACCCCTGTAAAAGAAATATATTTGTGTCAAGTTTATAGTATCAACTATATTGGTAGTCCTACAGTAGGAAAAAAGCTCACACTGCACTGAGTTCATTATTATTATTATTATTATTATTATTATTATTATTATTATTATTATTATTATTATTATTATCATCATCATCATCATCATCCAAACACATGCTAAATTCGCATGGGTCTTACAGGTTTGATTTATAACTCTAAACATACGTCACCAGCAACACGAAGCTATTAGTGCTCTGAGGTACATATTAGTGACTGAGGTGCGTGTATACTGTAAGGTATACATGCATAATTCAATTAAATTAAAGTTTATTCTCTATAAGGGTTACAATGTGGGGTTTACAGGTTTTGGGTATTGTGTGGTTTACATGTTATAAAATACTAATTACAGAGGGTGCCACTAGGACACCTAGCATGGCTAGGCATTTCGAGCAAACTTAGATTAATTCTTAACATTAAATCCTTACAAATTATGGTATTAAGGCTAAGTGACTACATCATAATTTGTGAGTTTAGCAATGTGAATGCTTTTGTTTTGGCACAATACAAAGTGTCTATATTGGAGTATCATAGGCAAACTTATGACTAGTTAGGATTTATTATTTTAAGATTAAGATTAGTATTTCTGGGTTTATAGTCAGTGGGTGAGTGAGTGTAATTGTGAACCACCAGGTGGTTATCATGTAGTTAGTTGTCGGGGTGGATCAGGGATATAAGATGTTTTCTAACTGTAGTTTTGAAAGTGATGAATGTGTCTGCAGTTCTAGAGTTTTCAGGTAGGGTACGTACACTTAAGGATGTATATATAACTGACTCAGTGTGTGTACACTAAGGTGTATTTCTATGTACTGTACATTGAAAAATGTATGCATATGTGTTAGCGTGATAGGACTGAATAGAGACAAATGATTTTTGGGACCTTATGAGCTGTTGGAGTGTTAACAGGGTAATATTTTGTGAAGGGATTCAGGGAAACCGGTTAGCCAGACACTTGAGTCCGGGAGCTGGAATACAATGACTACACTTTAAACGAGGGGGTTTAGGTACTGGCTTTTTTTGGAATACCAATCTAAACTGAGCGCTTCTGCTAAGACAGTGATTATGTGTGAACGATGGTGAAAGTTTTGTTTTGGGTCACCTTGCCTCGGTGGGAGACGGCCAAATGTTTATATATATTTTATATATTATATAAAATATTTTAAAAATAAAAAATATAATATAATTATTTTAAAAATATAAAATATATTTATTATATATATATCAATAAAAAAACCACAGAAACAGGTGTTTTCAAAATTATGCAAAACAATCACGGGTGAAAGAATAGAAAAAATTCCAAGCGTTTTTCGTGCCCACTCACTTTAAATTGATAATGGAGTAGTCACGAAAGGTTTTGGAAAATTTCCAAAATTTTTTTCCCACAGGGGTTTGTTTTGCATATACATACATATATATATAATATATATATTTTATATATATATATAAAAATATATAATATTATTTTATATATATATATATTTTATATATATATAAAAATATATAAATCATAAATAAAATGTCGTGCCAAAAAAGGCCCGAATTGCGATTTTGGCTTAAATAGCAACCCCCATCTTGCCATACCGGGAGTTTCCCCTTGGAGAGATTTTGGGGGGTAAATGCCCCCGGGGCCCCGGCTGTGACCGGGCCCCCCTCCTGGTGGATCAGGGGCCTGATCAACCAGGCGTTGCTGCTGGCTGCACGCAAACCAACGTACGAGCCACACCCCGGCTAAACAGGAACTGACTTTAGGTGCTTGTCCAGGGGCCAGTTTTGAAACTCCCCGGGGTCTGTTGGAAACCCCCCTTTATGTGTGCTGGGAGGCAGTTGAACATTTTGGGCCCCCCTTTCCCACTTATTGTATGGTCTTTAACGTGTAGGACCCCCCTGCTTTTCATTGGGGGGATGGTGCATCGTCTCCCAAGTCTTTTGCTTTCGTGTGAGTGATTTTTCGTGTGCAAGTTCGGTACTAGTCCCCTGGGAATTTTCCAGGGTATATAATCAGGTATCTCTCCCCCTGCGTTCCAGGGAATACGGGTTTAGAAAACCCAAAGCGCCCCCCAGTAATTGAGGTTTTTTAATCCCCGTTATGCGCGCCTTTAAAAGTTCTCTTACTTTTTCCCTAGGTGGGAAATTTCACCTGCCTTAAAAAGGTGCCGGTAAGTGCGCAATTTCCCAGCCTAGATAGAAAAATGACCTAAGGGGCGTAAATCAGGGTTTGGGGGCCCCCCTATTTTTAAAGGGTTTCTCTTTATCCATCCTGTCATTTTTCTAGCAGATGCGTTTGAAACAAGTTATGGTCCTTAAAAGGTGAGACCCTTTCCGAACAAAACACTCCCAGGTTTTTGACTTTGGTTTTTTGCCTTTTTTGTGGCCAAAATTTTGGGTTTTGTACCTGATAAAGATTTAATTTCCTCATTTTTACCATATCTGAGAATTAAAATTTTTCTCATCGTTGAACTTCATATTTTTTTCCTCCCAGCCCACGAAAGATTTGGTTGATGCCCGCCTGGAGCCTTGCAGGGGTCTCCCAATGGAAGAAAACCCTGTCAGGGCAGTTCGGGGTAAACTGCAAGGAAGAAAAGGGTCTGTGGTTTAAACATCCTTGTCTATGTCGGATATGGGGATGAGGAACAAGGGGGAGCTATACTGTGCCTTGTGGAACAGAGCTTTTCACCGTGGGCTGCCTCGGACTTTATTTTGTGACGACTCCCCTCTGTGTTTCTGTTAGTGAGGAAATTATAGATCCATCGACCGCTTTTCCTGTTTTTCCTTTAGCGCGCATTTTGGGGCGCTATTAGGGCCGGGGGTCACACTTGTCGAAGGCTTTTGCAAAGTCTGTATATTACATGGGGGAAATTCTTTTTGTTTTAAAAAGTGCTTTTTAGGCCTTGTCGTAGTGACCCCGGGTAGTTGGGGGACAGACAGGACAAACCTGTTCAAAACCCCAAAAGTTGCCCGGGGGTTTGTAATGATGGGTTTCTAGATGGGTGGTGATCTTGTTTTCTTGGCCCCCTTTCAAAGCTTTTTATAAAATTGGATGTTAGGTATTGGCTGTATTTCTTTGCTTTTTGTTTTAAATGCCCCCTTTGTGGAGTGGGGCTATGTCTGTTTTTTTTTGTAACTGAGGGACGACCCCCGTTCCATGCTCCCTCCCCAAATAGGATAAAAAAGGCTCGGATAGGGCTTTTTTGCATTTTCTTGATGAAAAAACAGATTTTCCAGGGGTTCTGGCCCTGAGGAAAGAGGGGCTGGGCATGTCTTTTAAATCGCCTGTTCGAAGCCCTTTTGGCGTCAGGAAAACATGGGAATGGGCTTGGTTAACCCAAATTTTGTGGTTTCCTCATAAAAAATTCTTTTTGGATCTTCGACCTCATTCTGGTTAGCGGCTTGCTAAAAATGAGTCATATTGGGACTTGAGTAGCTCCCCTCATTTTTGTGTATCTGTGTAGGACCCATCTTGTTTAAGTGGGGGGCCCAATACTGGGGGGTTTTTTCTCGATTTGATTTGGAAAAAAGGAGAAGAAATACTTTGGGTTTTTTTCGTTTTAAATTTATAGCTTTAGTTTTTTCCCCGCGTTTTCCGGACCCCAAAAGGATTCTTTTGTTTAAAGGTTCGATGTTTTGGCTATTTCTCTGCCCCCAGTGTCTCCTGCCATTTCAGTTTATTTTGACCTCTTTTGGGCCCCCTTCTTTTAAATTTTTTTTCCGTGCCTAAAAAGGGGAGCGCCTTTTTTCTTTTTCCTATTTTACACCCTACCCTCCTTTTTTTTAAAGGGAAACAAGTGAAAATTTGTTATGCAAAAATTTTTCGCCAAATCTTTCTAAAACCTAACAAAAAAAAATATATTTAACTGTTTTTTGCTTAGTATTAAATTACTGTAAACAAATTTTAAATTAAAACTTATTTGGGGTTTTAGGCAAAAAATAAATTGCTCTTGTTAAAATTAAGGTTAGGTAAGTTTTCAAAGATTTTTTTGGTAAAAATTTTTAAATTTTTTTACTTTTAACTTTTAATGAAAAAAAAAATATTTTAAAGGGATAAGAAAAAATTTTTCCAGAAAGGACTTAATTTTTAAAGATTTTTTGCTAATTGCCCAAAGTTTTACATATTGGGCACGACATATATATATAATATATATATATAAATTTTATATTTATATAAATTTTTATTTTAAAATTTTATAAAATATATATATATATATATATATATATAAAAAATTTTTATATATAAATAATATATAATAAAAATATGTCGTGCCGAATAGGCAAATTTGGGCGATCTTGGCTTAAATAGCAACGCTCACTTGCCTAAAGGACAAGTAAAAATTTTTGTATATTCAAAAATTTTCCCCAAAAAATCATTCTAAACCCAAAACGAAAAAAGAAAATTTGATTGTGTTTGTTTATTACTAAATTACTGAAAAAAGTTTTTAAAAATATTTTTAAAGGTTGGGGTTAGGCTGAAAAAAATTGCTTTGTTATAAAAAGGTTTAGGTAAGTTTTCTAAGATTCCTTTGGTGCAAAATTTTTTAAAATATATATTAAAAAATATATTAAAATTATAAAAATTATATATATATATATATATATATATAAAAATAAAATATAAAAGTTATATATATATATTAATATATATTTATATATATATATAAAATATATATATATATATATAAAAAAAAGGGGTTGGGTTTGACAGCAACCCCCCAGGGGGGGTACTACCGTCCTGCCAATGAGTGTAAAACAAAAGCCCTTTTGGATTGTTTTACATAAAGGGTAGGTTTGCTAAAGGTCTTTTGTTGTCTCATAAATATAAAGTTTACGGGCTAGTCTTGCTACTTCTATTCACTTGGGTCACACTCCCAACAACAAGTACACTTTTTATTTATACACACTCATTTTGAGTTTTCTTTGTTTTTTATCTTAATAGTTCGGGTCTTTT